ACCAAAGAAAAATCTCTGAGGAATAGTACTATCCAAAGTTGTTCTTTCTCGGGGCGCTGTATACACACACACATACATGTATACTTATGCACACCTGTGTGCCCACAACCACACCCTCATGCACATACACACATAAACACACCCATAAAAAAAAAAAGTAGAGAAGTCTGAGGTACTTTCCCTGGGTGCCCTGGGTAACTTGCTCTCTCCTGTCACCTTGTCCTATGGCTATTTGTGATTATCGTCTGCCATTGCCTCACTGTGTCTTTGAGGCGGGATTCCTGCCTTTCTTTTATCCATTCCTACACAGTGAAAAGGATTTCACTGTGTAGCCCAGATTGGGCCCAAACTCTCTATCCTCCTGCCTCAGTCCCTGAGTGCTGGGATTGCCGGTGCCTGCCAGTTCTCTTACTCAGTGCTGGCTCTGAGCAAGTGCTGGCAATCCACCCCCAAGGCAAACAGGAAGCTGGGTATACCTTGAGGAACAAAAAACACCATCTTTTCTTTTTACTGCCATAGAGGGGGCAGGCAAGCTGCTGGTACAGTACAGGGCAAGAACCCAGACATACCTGTTCATAAGAGCCAACGCTTGGGCAAACAAAACAGGGGGGGAGTTGTCAAAAAAAGCAAGGGGGGTTCAGAGGGCCAACCAGCTACAAATAGCAAGTAGATGTGCTAGAAGTCCCCTTACTAAAATACTTCTTTCGTTTTTCTGTTATTGTTGTTTGGTTTTCTTTGTTGTTTTTGTTTTTGTGAGACAGGGTCTCACGACATAGTCCAACGATCCTGAACTTGTGGCAATCCTTTTGCCTCTACCTCCCAGGTATTGGGAATACAGCTGTGATCCTCTGTGCCCAACTTTACAGTTATTTTTAAGTAAAAGGGACAGATGCATGAATGTACAGCAACATATACATGAAAAAATTAACTGAAAAAGTAGACAAGGCTGCACGTATGTGCCAATAAGAAGTCTCCATGAGCAGCCATACACTTGCTGAATCTGGACCTTAGTGGTATCTGGCTTTCTGTCCTGCTGTGTGGACAGAGCTGGGTTAGGTAAATCCAAGGAAAGATGACATTTTTTAAAATATATTTTTATTTTTTAACTCTTTGTTTATTTGTTTTGACAGGGTTTCACTCTGTAGCCCAGATTGGCTTTTTCTTGG